CCATGTCTTGGCTATTGTAAATATTTCTGCTATGAACATTGGGGAGCTGGTGTCTTTTTGAATTAGGGTTTCTTCTGGATATATGTCCAGGAGTGGGCTTACTGGGTCATATGGTAAATCTATTCCTAATCTTTGGAGGAACCTCTATACTGTTTTCCACAATGGCTGCACCAAACTGCATTCCCACCAACAGTGCAGGAGGGCTCCCTTTTCTCCACAGCCTCTCCTGCATTTATTATTTGTGGACTTTTGAGTGATGACCGTTATGACTGGTGTGAGCTGATACCTCTTCCAAGGGTGTGCTGTTTATGGGGAGGGTATAGCTCAGTGGTAGGGCATGTGCTTAGCTACTCGGGGCCCTGGGTTCAATCTCCAGTATCTCCATTTAAAACTTAAATAAATGTATAAACAATTACACCCCCACCCAAGTTTTTTTTAAAGGAATTTTTTAATAAAGATTATGTCCTTTAATTTCCATGTATTTTTAATTTTCCCATTTTCTTCCTTTTATTGATTTGTAGTATCATTCCATTGTGATCAGAAAAGACATTTGGGATGACTTCAGTTTTCTTAGATTTGTTAAGACTTGGTCCATTGGTAACAGTGGTGGTCATCTCTTTTTCCCTTATTGATTTTTTGTCTGGATGTTCCACCCATTACTGAAAGTGGAGTACTGAAGTCTCCTACTATTATTGTGTGGCTATTTCTCCCTTTAGATCTACAGACATCTGCTTTATGTAATTAGGATCTCTGGTGTTGGGTGCATACATATATATTTTTATATTTAAGAACATTTAGCAAAATTTTAAAGGTTATTTTCCATTTTCAGTTACTAACAATTACTGACTATATGCCCCATGTTGTACAGTACCCCCTTGAGTCTAACAACCAGGAGTTTGTACCCCCACTTTCCCATCCCAAAGTTGCCCCTCCCCTGAATGGTAATCATTCATTTATTCTCTATTTCTGTGAGTCTACATTTTCATTATATTCACTAGTATTTTAGATTTCATATATATGATATCATACAGCATTTGTCTTTGTCTGACTGATTTCACTTAGCCTAATGCCCTCCACGTCCATCTATGTTGCTGCAAACGGCAAAATTTCAGTATATTCTTTATAGATGAGTAGTATTCCTTTACCACATCTTCTTTATCCATTCATCTGTTGATGGACATTTAAGTTTCTTCCATATCTTGGCAATTATAAATCATACTACTGTGAATATTGGGATGTATGTAGCTTTTCAAATTAGCTGTTTTTTTCCCCAGATATGTACCCAAGAATGAAATGGGTGAACATATATCTATAATTGCTATATCTTCCTTTTGAATAAACCCTTCAATCTTTATATAATTATCTTCTTTAACTCATGTAGCATTTTTAAACTTTTAAAGTCTACTTTGTCTCCTGTAAGTATAGGCACACTTGCTCTCTTTTGGTTACCGTTTGCATGGAATATCTTTCTCTATCCCTTTACATTCAACCTTTGGGTGTTCTTAAGGCTAAATTTTACATAGCATGCAGTTGTAGCTTCTTGTTGTATCCATTCAGTCACTCATTTTCTTTTGATTAGTGAGTTTAACCCATTTAAATTTAAATTAATTATTTACTAATTATTGTAGTTATAGTTATTCTTAGTATCTTTTTCTTTTCAGTTATCAATCAGGGTTAGAAGTGATTTGTGCACTATCATTAGAGTATTTCACTGCTCTGTATTTGTCTGTATATTTACCTTTACCAGTAAAATGTATACTTCCTTTTGCTTTTGTGTTGTTGCTTATTGTCCTTTCCTTTCAACTTGACAACCCCCCTGTAGCACTTCTTGTACAGCAGGTCTAGTGTTAACAAACTCTCTCAATTTCTGTTTGTCCAGGAAAGTCTATCTCTCCTTCATTTCACAGAAAACTCTTGCTATGTGTAGTATTTTTGGTTGGCATATTTTTCCCCCAGTATTTTTAATATATTATCCCACTGTCTCCTGGCCTTCAAGGATTCTGCTAAAAATTCTGCTGTTAGTCTTAGTGGAGTTCCACTGTATGTGATAAGACTTTTTCTGTTTTTTTTCTGTTCTCAAATTTCTCATTTTAAAGTGTCTCAGAATTCTTTTAGTTTCAACCTATTTGGGATCTTTTGGCCTTTATAAATATAGATGTCCTTTTCCTTTCCCAAATTTTGGGGAAATTTAGCCATTATTTCTTTAAATAAGCTTTCTTCTCCTTTCTCTTCTTCTTCTGGAACTCTCATTACTTATCATTTTTCTTGACTGTGTCCTATAAGTCCTGTAGGCTTTGTTCACTCTTTTTCACTCCTTTTCACTTTTGCTCCTGTGAATAGAGCATTTCAAACAACCTGCCTTCAAGTCTAATGATTCTTCTGCTTGGTCTAGTCTGCTGTTGAAGCTCTCTATTAAACCTTTCAGTGCAGTCACTGTATTCTTTCCTCCAGAAATTATGTTCTGGTTGTTATCATCATCATCATCATCATCATCATCATTATTATTATTATTAATATTATGATTTGTTGAACTTCTCATTATGAACATCTAATACTTTTCTGATTTTGTCTAGCTGTCTGCATTCTCTTATAGCTCAATGAGCTTCTTTAAGATGATTACTTGGAATTCTTTGTCAGACAATTCATAGATCTACATTTTGGGAAGTCAGTTACTGGGATTTTGTTTTGTTTCTTTGGTGATACCAATGTTTCCCTGATTCTGTGTGACCCTTATAACCTGTGTTGATGCCTGCACACTTGAAGAAGTAATCACTCATTCCAGGCTTTATGTGCTGGCTTTGAAGGGAAAGACCTTCACCAGAAAACTCAGCCAGAAATTCTGGTGATCTATCAACTTCTATAGATATGCCCACTCTAATCCTCCAACTCCCACCTTGGGGAGCTCATCTTAGAACTTTGTGCCTCTCCTGATCCTACAGAACGATGTAAGGTTCTGAGAGCTGTTTGCTCCTTTTCCCTAGGGCAGTGCCCTGCTAGGCCAGGGCACTATATGCAAGCAGCACTCTCCTCTCTCCCTTCTGAAAGCTATGTCTTAGATTTGTGTGCCATTTCCCTGTTCTACAGAGCTATGTCGAGTCCCAGGAGTCACCTGCCTCTTTCCATATGGCAGTACACTGAGAGGCCAAGACAATAGGTTCAATCCCACTTATGCCCCTCCCTTCTGAAGGCACAGTCTCAGGGTTGTTCACCTGCTTCTGATCCTGCAGATTCAAGCCAGCTGCTGAGAATGGCGCTGGCTGCCGAGGCTTGTGTGTCATCTCTGGGGCACTATCTGTGGAAAACTGCAGCTCTTGGGGGTGTGTATCTGTTTCTATGAGCTTCCACCCTTTTCTTTTCTTTTTTTTTTTTTCTGTTCACAGACAACCCGACCATACTGATTTCTTCAATGTTCTGGGTGCATCAACATAAGCATAGCTTTTAGACATTGTCCCAAAAGACTGGGGAGCCAGATCCTCACTTTCTCTTTATCCTGCAGAAGTCATGGGCTGGAGGATCATTCTTGGCTCTGAATTCTGTCAGCATAGGGGGGATGTGACACAAGAAAAATGGCACTGCTCTTTCTATCCTTTTATTGTGGCTGACCTTAAATTTTATGATCTACTGGGGGCTGGAACCTCCCAACTGGACTCCAGAGCTCTCACAAAGGTATTTTTGTCTGTAGACATTTGTCAGATTATTGTTTCTATGGGTGAATGAGGGCTGGGACCTCCTATTCTGCCATCTTACTGATATCACTCACCCTCTCACACTGTAATACTCTGGCCTTAGAATAAAATCTAAATTTCACTCATAACCTACCTACAAGGCCTGAGGGTTCTAGCCATACTCACTTCTCCAGTGCCCTCAGCTTCCAACTTCTTCCTGGCTTATCCTGCTCCAGCCACACATTTTCCATTATCTCCCTGACACAGCCAAGCTCTTAAACCCCAGCGTCTTGGTAATTCCTGTTCCCTTTGCCTGGAAGATCTTTTCCTGGCTGTTTATTTAGCTGGATCCCTGCATCTTTTGGATTTCTCTTTAAATGCTAGTTCCTGAGACAGGCTCTCCCTGTTTCTCCATCTAAGTAATGGTACCCAAACTCACCTGTGATTCTCCACCACATTAACCCATTCTTCCTTCTGCATACTTGTCACAATCTGACATCTCATTGGTTTCACTTGCTTATTGTCTGTCTTCACCAATAGAATGTCAGCTGCAAGAGGGCAGACACTGTCTGCCTTGTTTCTCACTATATTTCCTGCCTATTGCCTGCAAATGACTTTTAAAACAATTTTGCAAGCAGTAACATAACAATCAATATATAAGATGCCACATTTTATCTCACCCTTTCCTCCTTGTGGGTATGCAGTAGTTTCTGATTATAAATACTGCAATGAACATCTCCATTCATAACATTCTCTGTCCCTGCTTCTGGTGCTTTTGCTCAGTTACAGTCTCAGAAATAGAAATATTGGCTTCATCAAAGAGTATGAGTATGTTTAAGGCTCCTTCACACACATGGCCACACTGCACTCCAGAAAGTCTGACTGAAGACCTAAGTCCCACCATCCCTGAATGAGAGCTTAGAGCCAAGAGATGAGTCTTTAGATTAACAACTTTCATGAATCAACTGGAGATCTGAATAAAATTCAGATTCTGCTGCAGGAGATCTGGGGTGGGGACTGAGATGCTGCATTTCTAACAGTCTCCCCACAGAATACCCCAGAGGCCCTCATCCTGCCTGATCTTTCCTGGCAGTGTCTGGGCTCCATGCTGACACACCCCTTGGGCACCAGTGCCTCTGCCCAGACCTCAGCCTCCCAGGCCTGTAGCCTCAGAAGGAAAGCCTGTGCTTCAACAAACCAGAAAGCAAGGAGCACAAATGACATTTCAGTGTTTAACAGACTAGCACCAACCCAATGCTTAGATACCACTGTTCCCAGGGCTGCCAAACCTCACTAATATGAAGAGTGTATTTACAGGAAAACACAGTGCACAGGGAACGGACCCCAAACTTGTAGAGCTTGAAGCAGGATCTTGACAAGATTTCCAGAAGCCAGTCTAACTCGATGACTTTTAGTTAATAAGAGTTTTTCAGTTTTTAAAAACGGCTTTATTGAGATACAATTCACATATTCCCCCATATCAGGCATATAACTCAATGAATTTATGTATATTCACACTTCCTTCTTTGATGCAATAAAGTTATTATTTCAGGTTTCATCCTGCCAACCCTGCTGTGTTTGATCCAAGCAGTCTCCACAAGACTCAAACCCTGATGAGGACGCCGGTGGCCAGAACTGCATCAGGTTGGTCAAGAAACCTGCTTTGAGGGCCCTGGTCTTCACAAGTCATGAGCTCCCATCAAGGATCCCATGAAAAACCAGTTCTTTAACCACAGTGTGAAAGAGCCCAGGAAAAAGGAGGAAACCCCTGATGCCCAATGTTTACTCATGCTGGTGTTTTGGTATCCGGAGACCCCAGCAAGCAGAGCCAGAAGAGCAGCCTCCTCAGCTCCATGTCCTGGTCCCCTAGGGGGCCCTGTGGTCACCAGGCAGGAGGAGGGGTGGGAAAGGAGGGGAGAGCTCAGGAGGGATGGGGAAGGGTTGGAGTTGGAACTGGGGATGGGATTGGGGGAGTGTGACAGGAAGGGGGTTGGGTACTTGGGAGGAGAAGAAGGGGGTCACAGAAAGGATCAGGCTCAACCAAGCCCTTGAGGGAGGAAGGAGGGTTCAGACAGGTCAGTAGGTCAGCAGGTAAGCAGGTCAGGAGAACAAACAACAGGTCAATCAGACTCTCAGGAACAGTGGGAGGGGATGAGACTCTGTCTTCCTCTGAGTCTTCTCTGGTTTGGACGATGCCATAGCAACGCAGAAGCTTTATACCCTCTCTCGACCAATCACCTGCCTTTGCCCCTGGTTCCTCACAGTGGACATTCAGGGTGACCTCACTTTTAGAACACGCCCCACTACCTGATGATCCGCCACACATCATCCAACCCTGGGTCCTCTCTGGAAACTTTCCCAACCTTATGCTTTCTGGTCCTTCTCAACCCAGGTCCCCTGCCCCCCCACTTCTGGGTGCTCCCTCCTTCTTTTCCAGATTCCCAGGGTTTCCCATGGGCAGTGGCTGGAAAACATGTAAGGCAAAGAATGACAGAAGTGCAAAAGGAATCAACTACAAAAGTGGAGTGGCAGGCCTCCACTCCCCCTCACTCAGCACTTCACACAAAAGGCAGACAGAACAGCCACGAGATGGAAAAGATCTTAACAAACCATCTTAATCACATCGCCACACCCATATGGCTATCCTTCTCTGTAATACACCTGCAGATGACATTAATTTTAGGTACATATGCTATACGCATAAAAATCAAACCTATTATTTTGGCCCAAATTGTCACACCTCTCTACAGTTCACTTGGGTGATTCATGTGTACACCCAGGTCTAAAGAGGCAGAAACTACCCTAGTGGAGCCGAAGCAGAGTTATGCTTTGGGGCAGTATTGACTGTGAGGGGGCCTGGGAAGTCCTTCTGGGGTGGTGGGAAGATTTGGTATCTAGATATGGGGGTGGTTGTGTTCATTCAATCAATGAGTGCTGAGCACATGGGGCCTGCCTGTCACAAGGGTCAGAGAGTCCCTCATATCTGTCCCTGGGAAGTGACCAACTGCTGATGGTGAGGAATGGATGAGGTGCCAGGAGTGGCCACGGGAGCCCAGTGAGAGGACCCTGCACTAATCCAGGCTTTGTGCCCCCACCCTGCCCTATCAGCTGCCCCAGGAGCCCCGATTCCAGGCAAACTCTGAGGGGGACTGAGGGCAGCAGTTCCCTCCTAAGTCTTAGGTGCTCCCACAATCTGCCCATAGTGTTCTTAGTGAGAAATTGGAAGGGCAGGTGTCAGTGGTTTGGGACTCCCTGCTGCTCACAAGGAGGAGTTGGGTGGAAATATTTGGCTCCTTAGAGGTCCCTCAATCCAATCCCCAGTAGCCCCTCGAGCCCGCAGGGCTGTGCCTCCTTCCAGGTGGGGGAGGTGGCCAGCCCTGCAGCAGCTCTGGGGTCCGGGCTGGGCCACCAACAGGTCAAGGTGTGACTGTGCTGCCCAGGAAGAGGCGCGAACAGCTGTACAGCAGTAAATACCGCCGTGGGCAGCCTCTGTAACTGGACTCCATCCACTGTGAGCATGGCCTTGGCCAAAACTTGGCAGTGAGGGTGGGAGGGCTGGGAGTGGTGGGGCCCTGTGGCCCTGGACAGGGCTGGACTGGAGCCCAGGGCCTGAGGGCCTGAGGGAAGAGACAGGCAGGGACAGAGATAGTGTGTGAGTGATTGAGAGAGGTGGGGGTCAAGTCCTAGAAAGTGACAGGAGGTGACAGGGGAACTGAGTAGGGAGAACCAGAGACAAGAGGAGGCTAGAAGGAAAGAGAGAGCCAGTCCAGAGTCCGTGGTGGGGGACAATGGGCCAGGGTGGTGCAACTCTGGGAAGGGGCCCAGAGTGGAGGGGGCAGAAAAGGCAGGAATCCAGGCCTCACTGTCCCTCCCGCTCTAAGGCTCTGACCTCCCTGGAACTGAGTTCCCCAGGGGTCATTGTACTTGGAAGGATTGGTACCTCCCATTTTCCTTGGGATTTCTGGTTCCAGCCTCTGTGTCTGTCCCTGTTGGGGTTGACTTTCAGGAGGATTGGCTGCCCTTTGGGAGGAAACTCCAGAGACTGCCCTGTGGGGAGTTGACCTTGACTCCTCACAGACCCAGTGGGGCTGCACTTCCAACCACACTGCTGGACCTTCCTGGATCCGCAGCTGGGCTTCAGGCGCTGTGCTGGCCCCAGGACCCCCAGCCTGGAGGGACTGAGTCCCATCCAGAGTAAGCAGGCTTCAGGGATACCGGAGCTCTTCCCACTGTCAACAAAAATTCCTTCCAACCCTCAGGAGTCGGGACCCCCTATAAATTACCAATTAACGTCAGGTCAAAGGTATTGAAATATCACACTGGGCAGTATAATGTGCCAATTGACCAAATTCAGAGTGCAGGGTTGTGATTACACTACACTCTCAATAACCCATTTTGTGGATGAGAAGACAGAGGGGATGTGAATCACCATAGGGTCTCAGGGGTGGTGAGTGCTGTAACTTTACCTT